GGATCTGTTCTCAATCATCCCAGAGTGCAAGGCATGTAATAATGGGCTCAAGCCACAGGAAGCCAGATTTGGGCTAAATATAAGGAAAAACTTCCTAACTGTTAGAGCATTACGACAGTGGAACCAGTTACCTTGAGAGTTGGTGAGTGCTCCAACACTGGAGGCATTCAATAAAAATTTAGATAATCACCTGGCAGATATGTTTTGATGGTATTCCTGCATTGAGCAGGGGGTTGGACTTGATAACCTTGTAGGCCCCTTCCAACTTCACTTTTCTATGTTTCTATGATTACCGTAAATTTATTTATTTTTATTTATTTATTCGATTTTTACCCCGCCCCTCTAGACAACGTCTACTCGTATTGTACTGAAAGGATAGCAATCATTCTAAATTTCCATATAAGCATAAAAATGAGCAGATAAATATCCCATGGCCATCCTCTCCAGTCAGGTGGGAAGGTCCTTGGTGCTGCTGAGAACGTCATCTGCTGTGGTTGCTCGATGCTTGATTTACCATACTGTCCATAAGCTTGAGACAGAGCAATACCTACCCATGCCGTTCTGTGAATGTGCAAAAGGGTAGGTCTTAGTCCAGCCTTCTCCAACCTGACGTTCTTAACCTGGCATCCTATACTTCCTATAAGTCCCACCATCCTCATCCACTACGCCACTGGTAGATATAAAGGGTGTTTTAGATCTAACACAAGAGGATAGCAAGATTGGGAAAGACAGTTTTGACCACTATGGAATGTAATTTTCACCAGGAAAAAAAATTAGATGTATTTTAAAAGATGTATTTCCCATAATTTTCTGCTTCTTAAAATCTTCCACACAAGCCTTTCTATGACAATTATCTATGCTTTGGTAGTGATGGAACTGTATTCTGCAGTTGTGATAAAATGTTGACCTGGCACTGGAAAATTCGTCATTACTTTTTAAATTGGCATGTTAAAAAAGATTGAGCCATTATGTAGAATTGACCTGAAGACCTAAGAAATAGTGTTCCCCCCCCCATCATGAGAGGTACAAAATGGAGTAATCTGGATTTTGACTTAACGTTTGCCTTAAAAAAAAGCTATAAACCTTTCTAGTAATCTAATTCCTAGCTTCTCAGGAGCAAAAGGAAAAAAAACCCATACCCCTCAATTTTAAACTATGGGTGCATTAAGGAAATATGAAGAGACACTCCTGGTTGTAATGTGAATTCTCAAACATTGAGTTATCAGTATATTTAGTTGCATTACAAATGTCAACCAACAGCCCTGCTGAAGTCTTGCAAACTCAAGGCTGTGGTTTTCTTTACTGAGTCAAACCATCTCTTCTTTGGTTCTCCTCATCTCCTGCTGCCTTCAACTGTTTCCAGCATTATTGACTTTCAGGCAAGACTATAAAGCAAACGTTAAAAAATCCCCATAGGTAGAAAATGGGGGCTAGAACCCACCCTGCCATGCTAATGTTCTGCTTCCAGGGTGTTTACCATCTATGGGGGTATGACTATATTGATGACTATGCGATTCTTCAGTTGCATTTGAGATGGAATGCTCCATTTCCCAACCTTGCTCTTACTAATGGTGTGGATGCCAGATGACTGCTCCAGTCTGAGTGACATGATTTTTCCATGTGGTTCCAGGAGAGGCCTTTATTTTGGTTCCCCCACCTTTACAGCTGCTTCCATGCGCACACAGGAGTCTTCTCTGTTGCTGCTCTAGACTCTGGAACTCCCTCCCACAGGAGGCCAGGCTGGCCCCTTCTTTGCTGTCCTTCCACAAGCAGGCAAAAGGCCTGTCTCTTCAGGCAAGCTTCCCCTCCATTACTAGCTTCCTGAGTAGGATTTTTAAATGGATGGCGGTGCCTTATTGCTTTGAACGGGTTTGGGTGTTGCTTATGTTTTTTATTTGATATTTGTTCAGTACTTTTTAGAATCTGTGTACTTAATGTTTTTAGCTTTAATATTGTCTTTTAACAATGTAAGCCGCACTGAGATCTTTTCAAGGAGAAAGGTGGAGTAAAAATATATTTTTAATTCATTCATTAAGTCATTCTTAGCTAATACAAGTCACTGTCACTCCATAGCATAATGAAAGTTTACTTCCCATTTGAGTATTTGGAGACAAGATTATGATGAGATGATCGGTGGCCATAAGAAGAGTGTGAATAGTTTCCCATTTTCTCAAATCTCTCCTTTGAGAGATGATAACTGTCATCTACTCTCTCTCTGGACCCACTATTAATTTTATCAAGAGCATAAGCTAGAGAGCACAGGCATGGATGACCAAATGATGGCCTTTCTGACCCTTTGTGGCTACACCTTTTCTCATATTACAAAGTTCACATTGTGTTTTCTCCCTGCTAGCCTGGAGGGACAAGGTAGCAGCGTCTTGCAAATACACAGCGTCTTTTTTTCATCTGTGTTTCTTGGTTGCATGAAACCCTTCCCCAGCTCAGAGCTTGGAAACATTCATTTCAGCAAATGCAATTCACTGAGGCCTCCAAGCCAGCATGGACATGAGTAGGTGCCATGTTGATTTTGCCCAGCCCGGAGCTTGGGAAATTTTAAAAACTTTTTTGGGATAAGAATCTCCTGTTGCCACACCTCCCCTGCCCGGCCCAGAGCTTGTATGATATAAAATGTGCAATCTAGTCAATATTTGGTGGAAATCATTCTTCTGGATTCAGTGGTCCTTCATAACCTGAGTTGGTGCAGCTTGTTGGATTAGAGCACATGGATCAGGAGTTCAAATTCCCGGCCTCCTGGGAGAGGGGCCACATGAGATGACCCACCGTGTGGCTGACTTGTTGGATTTTGTACCCAATCACCTGTGCAGCCTTGGGCAAACTGCATGGTTCTCCCAGGGCACCATAAGAAGGAGGAATGGGGAAAACCATGCCTGTATCTAAAACCCTGGGAGGTTGACATAAGTTGACATTGACTTAACGGCACATAATTCACCATAATCACCTGAGCACTAAGTTATTACTTAGTTTACGTGTAAATTCGGCTGTAATGTCTGTATAGACCTCCTGAGAATGTTCTGTTTCAGGATGTGGAGATCAACTGCATGTTTGCGCATTTTTTCATATCTAAAGCTCAACCCCTCTTATTTTCTTCTAAATGTATGGGAAGGGGGTTGTCTTGTCTTTTACCTTAGGCAGCAAAATACCATATTTTTTCCATTTACAAAAGCCCCCCCCCCTTTTCTAACACCCAAATTAGAAAACTTGAGGGCAGTGGACGCATGTGGCCCTTTGATCCTCACACCCTTTCCCAGCTGCCTTTCCCGCTTTCTAAGCCCTGCAGAGTTTAGGAAATGGCTAATGCGCCCTTTCATGGCTGCTTCAGGATCAAAGGGGTGTGAGTGTGCTGCCCTTTCATGGCTGCTTTACTCTGTAGCTTTGCAAAAGACAGGGAAAGCAGCTGCCTGCCCTGTATAAGATGACCCTCAATTTTTGGTCCAATTATTTAAGTAAAAAAGTCTCATCTTATACACAGAAAAAGACGGTATCTTGGATTAGTACTTTACTTACACATTGGTGAGGTAAATATTGCCATTACCAACTTGGTCTATGCTGTACACTTCCCACAACCCCTGAGGATCTCAGAATGATGCCATTTTAGGTTCTTCTTTCTGACCTTTCACCTTTCACCACAGCAACAAAGGGATGGAGCACCTTCTCAGCATGAAGTGTAAGAACGTCGTACCTGTTTACGATTTGCTACTGGAAATGCTGAATGCCCACACGGTCCGAAGCCACAGGAAAACACCCATCTCCAACGATGAAGACAATCCACCTCCGCACACGGACATTACAGATGGAGCACAAATGTGATTTTGCAATGAACTGGAAAATAAATTAAAAATGGAGGGAGGGGTGAAGATTAAAAGTCGAGGCTGTTTGTTTCGTTATCTTTCAGAAAGAAGACACTGGTATCTTTGTAACCATTTATATTGGATCACACATGGAACTGTTCTGGAAAAACCTCGCATGGCTGGCATCGAATGAACTGTTTATGATCCTGGCTTTATCAAATGTTGCACTTTTGAAGTGCCTTCTAGAGGAGACTGTTGACGCGCCCATATGAGCCTTATTGCTTTATGATACCCTAGCTGAGGGTAGCCTTTTTTTTTTTAAAAAAGAGAGGGAATGACACACATGCTTACAAACTCACTGCAAAAACTCTAGTGGGACAGGAAACAGGAGCAACTTCTACAGAATAACTGATTGATTTAACAGGATGCTTTTCATCAACACGTTCTCCGTATTAAACCAAGGAAGACGTAGCCTGTTCCCACTGGAAATGTGTGCTGTTTGCCTTGGTAACTGCAAAAGACATGAGAATGTTTCCCTTTTGAATATGTAGGGGATGCTCTGATATAACTGAAAGGGCCCAGCTCCTTGATACATTGGGACAACATGGCCCAGAAGCTTCTAAAAATAGCTCTAGTTTGTACGGACTGTTCTATCAATGTTTGCCTTGTTAGATCTCTGTGTTCAAACACTTGACCGGACGTTTGGGTTGTAAGCTTCGCAACATGGCTGCCACTGATGTGAAGGAATCGTTGCGATGAATATTCAGACTCCGTGAATGATTACTGTATGTTATGTCTACAGAGGTTCACAGTTATTATGGCAATTAGACATGAAGAAGGAGAAACAGCGTTGGTAAATATGTTCATTCCGAAATGAGGAAGAGCACAGCATAGGAGAAAAGTGATGTCTTCTGGTGGGCCGCTTAAGGTATTGGGCGGTAGCATCTTCATGCTCTACCATGTGCTAGTTCGGGGTCTCCACGCAGAGAGCTGTTCCACTCTTAATGGTCTCCCAGTTCACTTCAGTGGCTGAAGCAGTTTGACGCACAAAAAACGAAAACTGTGCAAAGTTTAGACCAGAGTTTCAACTCCATATTAAGATCTTTATAGTCTATTCTGCACATGTTTTGTACAATTTTGGTTGGTTATAAAGATATGGCCTTAAAATATGGAGTTTGGAATTTATTTTGTGCCAAGACAGCTATTGCTGCTTTTTGTGTGTGTGTGAGTTGTGCACCCCTATCGTTTAAGTAAATGTGAATGCATCTGTGTGCTACTGTTCTGTATGCATATGACAACCCATACATTGCTCTGGAGCTTGTAGAGTGAAGGGCAAAATGCGTGAATATGTTCACCTTTTACATAAATGCCACTGGATGAAGAAGAAAGCTGGGCGCTTGTCTTTCCATGTCATTGGAAAACAATGAAAATTATCTCATACCGTTTGGACAGGATATCACAGCTTTCTTTTTAGTGCACAAAATGTCAATGGAGAGACAAGGCTGTCCCATTCCCTAGATAATCCTTAATTATTATGGGAACCCAAGGGAAATTGTTACTGCCTCTTTTGGCTGACACATCCCCAAAGTTGATCTAGGTGAGAATACATAGCACTTTAATTACACATCTGAGTTGATTCACAGAGTGAATTGGATGTCTCTGGTTGTCTTAGGTCGGTTTAGATGGTCTGTAGGCTTTAATCTGCTAGTTGAGACCATCTGTATTTAGAGTGGGGAGTGAAGGGATAGTTTCCCTTTTTAAGTACATATCTGGAAGCATCCTCTTTCTCTTCCTTGCCTTATTATGGGGAGGATTTGTGGGCTACCAGGAAGCAGCCATGGCTAGCTCCTTAGGGCTCATAGCATAGGAATGGTAAACTAACAGGCTGGGCAACAGGATCTGTTTGTGTAAAGCTGTGAAGACAATCCATCTGGGTGGCTGGCTTGAAAGTGTTTTTTTCATATCTTATTTGAGGCATTTAGAATACAGTGGTGCCTCACTTACCGAGCGCACCGTTTAACGACGAATCCGCATAGCGATGAGTTTTTTGCGATCGCTAATGTGATCGCACTGCAATGTTTAGATAGGATAAAAATCGCATTGCAATGATCGGTAAGCGTTTCGCTTACCAATCTTCGCATTGCGATGTTAAGGAAACAGCTGATCGGCGGTTCCAAAATGGCCACCGGGTGCAGAAAATGGCTGCCTGCTCCATTTTCACGCCCTGCCCTCGCTTACCGAGACGGCGAAAATGGCGGCCAGATGGGGAATCTTCGCTTACCGGTGAGTTTTCGCCCCATAGGAACGCATTAAACGGAGTTTAATGCGTTTCTATGGGGTTTTCAGTTCCGTTTAGCGATGTTTCCCGATAGCGACGTTAATCCTGGAACGGACTGACGTCGCTATGCGGGGCACCACTGTACAATGGGAGGCACCATGCCAGATTTTCCAAAACCACTGATAAATATAACGCTGTCCCCATGCACAGATCCAGACTATAGGATAACGATTGGTATATGTACGCTGTATTTAAAGCGGTCCTCCACTTCATTTAACAACTATAATAGAGAAATTGAGGCATGGAGATAAAATAGCATTGAAATGACTCTTAAGAATTCCAGGTTATAGACACTAAAATGCTAGGTTTCAAAAGAAGGAAATTATTTTTAAAAACCCTTAAGTTTGTTTATGTTCTTTCAATTTTCATTTTTGTTGCCATAGAGAATTTCTTCTTTGAAATGGTCATTGCAGCTTTCCTGTGGTTTTCCTGTTAGGTGCTCATCTGGGTAACTTAATGAGATAAGAAAGCATCCTCACTAGGCTATGCAAGTGGCCTGAGAGAAGAAGGTTTTGAAGGTAATGAAGGCTGTTCTCTGTTCAACATTGTAAGGCAGTTGTAAGTCAAAAGAACATCTGGAGACCCAAGGTTGGGAACCACTGTTGTAGGCCCATAACTCATTGGTAGAGTAGATGCTTTACATGGGAAATATACCAGGTTCAATTCCCTTCTTGCAAAAAAGAATAAGTTTGTACATCTGTGTGTGTAGCTACCAGGTGAAGCAGCATGGAATGGTTCATTCCCCACCTAGATTGCCAACACCCAGAAGATGCGTTACCATCTTCAGCTATTAGGGCAGCAAGAAGAGATTTTCTGGAGATTAGCTTAATATACAGGCAAGGTTCCTTCAGCCATGGACAAAATGGAGACTGGCAACCATAATGTCAGTGGGGCAGTGAATCCATTCCAGTTTTTGGCCCAGACTTTAAATGATCCATTCAATATGCTGAATCTTGTGCCTAGGGTTTAGCTCTTTGGAGACCTCCTGCAAAGTTCTGACTAAAACCCTAGACCAAATTCACTGCCCTGCTGACTTCGGGACATCCTTCACTACATGTAGGATTTTGAAGGTTCTTGTGGCTGGACAGTCCAAATAAGTGGACTTGGAAATATAAATGATCCCAAAGAGGTAAAACTTGTGTTCTTGATGGGCCAGTTAATACAGTGTACCCTACTTACATTCCTCGTTACAAGCCATTAAAAACACCTAAACCTTCCCTACAAGTTGCTTTCCTTACAAGTTATGTTAGCATCGCCTCCGTGTTGCGGATTCAGTCTGTTCTTTTGCTGTGAGCCTGCATGGTTTCTCCCTTCTCCAAAAATTATTTGGCTGCACTGCTAAGCACAAGTGTTGAGAGAACAAAGTGCTCTTCTGAAATGAGAAGCACTTTTTTCCACAGAAAGGAGATTATTTGGGTTCTGAGGTGTTTAGACTGAAGAGATCTGGCCACACACATTGACTACATGCCTTGTTTCGTGGTGTTTCGTAAAACACAAGATAAATATGAATGTGTACCCTTTGCCGTTATCAGCTTTGAACCTGAAATGCTTTTAAAGTTCTCTTTCGGTGCCTTGACCAGTACTTTGTGAACACAAATCCAGGCGTGGGACTCGGATGGGGTGGGGTGGGGGTTACAGGGTGGTGGGCGAAAACTTTCTGGCCCTTTCTCAGCTGCTTTCTATTAATGTAGACTTTTGAATGTTGCTTTTTTTTTCTGGGTCAGTGATGTGTTTGATAATCGTTGGATGTACCTGACAAATAAATGGATATTCTGTAAAGTGATTGTCTTGCTTATTTTAGGTTCCTCTTACTGGGGGTCAAAGATGTGGAGATGGTGTCTTGGTTTGCTCTCTTTCTTTGACTCTGATAGGGCAAATTAATTCTTATCTTCCAGTCTAAGCCTTGGTCCCAAACGGCTATTGGATGCTTGCTAAGGAATCTCTGGTGAAGACAGACATCATGGCAACAGAATAGCAGGAAAGGAGAATAATGCACCAACAGTTTGTTATGCCTGGCAGAAAAAGCCAAACAGGATTCTCTAACCCATGTTACATGCATTCCAACCAAAAAGGCTTGCTTGGACAACTCAAAAATATAACCTGAAAGGGTAGTAATTTTTGTATTTGCGAAAGCTTTCACGGCCGGGATCTAATGGTTGTTGTGGGTTTTTCGGGCTCTTTGACCGTGTTCTGAAGGTTGTTCTTCCTAATGTTTCGCCAGTCTCTGTGGCCAGCATCTTAAAGATG